CGGATCGGAAGGCCGGCTGGGACTCTGAATGATGAAAAAGACGGCTCACATGGCATGGCCTGCTCACAGTCGTCGCGTCCCGGCCCCGCTGGCCCCGCGAACGGGTCGAAGGAGATAGATCCCCCCCATCGCGGCCCGGACAACGCCCTCCTGGCCATGAAGGATGAGCCGTGGTGTCGCAACGGGGCGTCATAGTGCTCTGTCTTCGCCCTGGTGACCGTCTCAATCATCGCACGCGTGCCCTCCGCCCTCGATCTCCGGCGTCGAAGGCCGTCGAGCGCAGGGTCGAAGGCGAAATCCGCGCGCGAGCAGCAATGCAACTCGAGCAGCTCTACCACCTCGCCCGCGGATCTGAAATGGGCGAGCCCTTGAAACCCTCTCACTCCTATGCGGGGGCATGCCGCGTCCAGCCGGCCAGCTCTGAGCCGGTCGACTGCGCCCTGCCCCCGCCACGCGCCCACCCGTGGTCGTTGACGAACATTGCGCGGAAGATCACCATATATGAGCACGCGCTTCCGCGACCTGGTGGCCCCGTGGGTCTCGTCGCGAAATGTCCTTCCATATTAAGCAATTGCTGAGCCCTTCCGCGCCCTCGGCATTTTCGTGCTCGACCAAGTGGCGTTTGCCGATTCTGGGCATGCTGGCGCTGGCTGACCTCTTGGACTCGCCCGGCAGCCGCAGGCGAACGGCGCTATCCCAATGGGCCCGGCGTTGAGCAGCGGCGAGGACACAGCGGGGCAGGAACCGCCCCAATCCACGCGCAGGCGAACATAACCATTGAATTCGCGCCCCCACCTCCGCGCCGCCAGCTGAACTTCCAGTCGCCAAACGCAGAATGCCGCGCTCGATATGGAAGTCCGCAACAGCGTCGTTGATCGCCGCCGTCTTCTCCTGCGCCCTCGCGTCCAAAGCCGCGGCGAGAGCGCGATCAATCGCCCTGTGCTGTGGACTGAACGCAAGGGGGGTATATTGGAGGACCTGCTCTTACGAGCAGAGCTCGGCAAAGACTGGCGCGAGTTCTGTCGTCGGCGTCGCGCCCAGACCCCCGGCCCTCCTAATCGTTGATCTCGCATCTCTCGCGGCTTCCTTCACCCGCGGCGGCGCGGACTTCTGGCGCCGATCACGCCGCTGACTTGCTGGCGTGGAACGGCCTTTCCGATGCTGCTGATTTCTCTTTCGCCGTCGACCGCAGTCGGACTCCAACGCCGCGGCAAGCAGAGGAAGCTGGCACGATTCGACTGGTCGATGGCAAAATGCAGCCGACGGCGGCGCGGGCGCGGCTGCCGGGGGCGGCCGCCCTCGAGCCCCCCGCTCCGCTGCGCCCGAGGTTCTGATCTCAGTGGCAGGCTAGAGCCCTGCGCCAGAATGGCAACGGATGAGGAGGGGAGGTCGGGTCAGGTCATGGCCGTTGGGGGTCTCTGCGTTTTGCTGTAGAGGGCTTGCAGCAGTTCGAAGCAGGCCCTCGGGCGCGTTGCCAATCCTGGGGGCAAGCCTGGGGCGCCCCATCCCCTGGTTGACACCGGGTGCTGGGCGCCCCGCCGGCAGTGAGACCCTGCCGGGTGGACCCACTTGAGCGGCAAAAACAGGAGGTTAGCGCTGCTGCCAACGCGCAGCGCGCGCCCCCCTTGGATGGGGCCAGGCAACAGCGGGCCAACCGCCGCCTCCGCGCGCCCTCGCCTCCACCGCCCCTTCTCGCCCTCCCCGCCGCCCCAGGCCCCTGTTTCCGACGCGCCAAATGCGCGCGGCCGCTTGCCTACCTTCTGTTGATGTTCCTCTTCTTCGGGCGTCAATGCCGTTATTTTCTTGCGCGATGCTCCCGCGGGGTATAGATCTATGTGCGTTCGCCATTGTGTTCGGCGCCAACGAACCTCCACGTTTGCAGACGCTCGTTTGTATGATTTTCCCTTCCCAAGAGGAGGTGGGCGATGGCGTCCTCTATGTCGGCGAATGCCGCTTGTGCTCTGGATGCCGAGTACTTGATTGGTGTTCCTCTTTCCAAGGCCATGGGGCATCTCTGCTTCTGCGAGATGGCGATGGCTTCTCTTCCGTTAAACGATGGCAAACACTGTGGCTCAAATCCGTTCGGCGCTGCATCGGCGCGGCCTCCATCGACGAAGCTTTACAAACAATGTTTCGCCATGCGCATGTTGGTCTCCTGCTGGAAACGCCCGGCAATGTAAAACAATGCATGCGCATTGATCTGCATGCGTTTGGATTTGTTTTACCCGGCCCGCGAACCTGTGCAGTCGATTGCGCGCTAAATCTGCTCTTTGGCATGTCAAATGGCGCGCGGTGCGCCCGCGTTCAAACTGATGGCAATTGCATGTGTTTGCTCGGCTGAGGGCGTTCGGACATGCAGCACATGTCCTCCGCTTCTCTTAGGCCATCCGTCTCCCTCCGCATTGCGCGTTCGCTCGCCGCCTTCGCTCGCGCCCCGAGGAGGGGGCCAGGTGGGGCGGGAGGGGGGGGGGGCAGGGGCGGGGGGGGGGGGGGGGGGGGCGCGGAACGGCGAGAGCCCAGCATCGCGTTTCCTTTGAATATGACGTAGCAGCCCGATGGGAAGCAACTGGCGCAAAGTGGATCCACGTGCCCATAATTCAGCATACTTGGAAACGTGCTGATGTTGACAGTCGGCCAGTGGATCCGGTTCCTGGCCTGTTTCTTCAAATGTCGAGGGGGCCCATGTCTGCAGAAACTTTTTTTGTTTTGTCATTGTTTTCAGAAGCTTCAAACTGTTTAACTTGACTTCCTGAGTATTTCGCGAGTGCGTGCGACGTATCCTCGTCTTGCACTCTTGCTTTCCGAAGGCGCGCTGTCGAATCGACGTGCGTCGCAAGAAAGCATGGCGGCGGCAACTGCGGTGGCGATAACAACGCGGTGAGCGGAATGAGCTGCGTGCGCTGGAACATCCCTGACTTCTCCTGCCCCCAGCAATGAACTGGTGAGGGCCTGGGTGCGACGGCTGGGGTGCGATCCTGGACTCCGAACGGCTGGAGGAGGAGGGGGGAAAAGGGAGAGGAGTTCAGCTCAGTTCCCAAGTCCACCAAGACCGTTCGTGACTAGAAAAAACGTTTCTGGCTCGGGTTGGGGTGTTCGAATCATTGCTCGACCCCCCGTAGTCGCCTCGCCTTGCGGCAACCATGCTGCTGCCTGACTCCCATCTGGGAATCAGTGAAGAACAGTCCCTTAAACCCCAACCACTCCATGTGTTGCGTGGGCCATATGAGGAGGCGCAAGCGCCGTTTCCCAGAAGGCCCACAACGGGCACAGGGAGGGGCCCCAGGGCCCGCGGAGAGCAGAGGGGCACGGGCGGAAAAGAACCCCCGTCAGGAGGAGTAACGTGGGCAGGCGGCAAGCTGAACTACCCCACTGTGGGTCCAGCGCGGGAGCGCGGCCGCGGGCGAGGGTGCTCATTCACCTTTTCTGGCCTTTGCCGCCTCGAAGCTGGCGACTGCGATTGCCCCGCGGGGCTCGGCTCATCTTGATGTGCCCGCCCATCCCGCGAATTGCTTCACTGAGGTGGTGCTCCGCTGGAATCCACGTGCCCTGGATCTGCAGCGTCTCCGTCGGGATTTCGAGCGGACTGACCATCGGGTGCGACTTGGTGTCGTCGTGGCTCCCCAGATCCTTGAGAATCGCCTCGGCTGCCTGTGGCGCGCGAGGAAGAATAATATTGCATTTGAGCACGAAGGTCATGCGATTATTGGGCTCGGCTCCTGGGCGGCCGACTGCCGGTAAAGCCACGAGTTTCTTCCCCCGAGAATACCATGATCACGGGCCCGGTCTTGTCCATCATCAACGACAGCATTCTGCATTAATAATAGTGCTGATACCACACGATCGTGTGACGAGGGGCTCTCGTTAAACACCAGGTCGGTAACATCCGAAACTGTCGATGATGAGCTCATCTTCGATGACGTCGCCGCTGCTCCACTGTCGGGCGCCGCACAGAACAATAACGTCGTGGGACTGGTACTCGGCAAAGATGTATGCGAGCCTGGAGTTGCGTTAGGTCGGGCCTGTCCCCCTACAGGTGGGATTTTCGACGAAAAATGAAAAATACACCCAAAATGCCCTAAAAAGGTAAAACAATACTCAAACATAGACCCCAGACTATGTTTGGAGTATTTTTCTACTATTTTGAAGTATCTTTTATTTTTCGTCGAGAATCCTCCTGTAGGGGGGCAGGCCCGACTTAAGAGTTGCGGCTCGCAGCGCAGGGGTTGAAAAGCCAAACATCCTGAGCAACCCAGGAGAAGCCTCGACTCGCGGGCGAGCCGCCGCCATGGCCGCGGCTGGGGGCTGAAGGGCCCCTGCGAATGCGTGGACCTCGAGGCGTGTGAGGTGGCATGGTGTGATCTCGCAGGCTGCTGGGCCACCTGGAGGAGGAGGAGGAGGAGGAGGAGGAGGAGGAGGAGGAGGAGGAGGAGGAGGAGGAGGAGGAGGAGGAGGAGGAGGAGGGGGAGGAGAAGGAGGAGGAGGAGCAGGAGGAGGAGGAAAATGAGGACACATCTGACACTCCTGTCTTCCAGCTATCGGTTTTCATTGCGATTAATCATCTTCCATCCGCCGATTGGGACGCCCTGGAAGATTTTTACTCCTAAATGGCAGATGCAGGACGTGGCCCCTCGAAGCAGGATGACGAGGGATGGAGCGGGATGGAGGTAGGATGAGGAACATCTAGGAACCAGGAGGAGGAAGAGTTGAAGCGAGGACGGTGGGGCAGAAGGGAGAAACGCACGAGTACCCAAATCCCCAACGTCGTCTTTCTTCACAACGTCGACCCTTAGAGGTCTGGACCCCGTCCCGCAGGGCCGGTTTTTCATCCAGGATCGTTTTCTGCTGGTCCCGAGGCTCACCGAGGGCACCCACAGGCCGATAACAGCTAAAAACCGCCCGCTCCAATTTTTCTGAAGCATCGGATCTCTGGGTATAGAGCTATGAAAAAGAGGTTGCAAGGAAACGGCGAAGGAGGAAGAGGAGGAGAAGAGGACCAAGTCCTCTGTCCACGCCTCCTCCTGCAGATCCGCGCCCTCCTGCCTCGGCTTCCGCCGCTTGCCCTTGCGTTGGGCCTCCTTGCGCCCAGGGAGCGGGGGGAGGCGGAAGAAGATGAAAAGGAAGGCAGGAATAAGACGAAGCCAAAAAGAGGATCAACTCGGGTGGTGGTAAATCGAGAATATTTGAGATCTGACGGCTCTGGAAGACTTCTCGGGCGCCGCGGCCTTCTCAGAACGTTCCGGAAAGCTCTGAGAGCGTTCCGGGACGCTCTGGAACGGATTTGTCCTCGTCGTAGCCCCGCCCGAAGAAAGGTTGAGGGCGGAGGGGCGATAGACGAGGAAGGAGAAGGAGGGGGCATGAAGAGCAGGATGAGGCAGGAATCTGACGGAGAGTGGGGAGAGAAGGAAAAGGGGTCAGAAGACGGGGTGCGAGGAGGCGTGGAAAAGAGCAATTGGCGGTGGAACGTGATGACACTTGGAGCTTAGGAACAGGTTACGGGGTTGACACGAAGGGACGGGGGAGGAAGTGAGGTACAGAGGGAAAGGGGGAGGCGAGAGGAGGGAATCAGAGGAGAAAGAAAGCAGGATGACGAGGAACGAGATGGATACGGTGGTCATGGGAGAAGAAGTACACTTTAGAATCGCCTGATGGAGCGGATCGTAATCAACGAACACAATCTATACCCTGCCGCGAATCTTAGAGCGTCGCAGCCGCCAGAAGGGACGGACCGCACCCAACTTCGAACGAGACTCCCTGAGTTTCTCACGAGATCACTAACAGCTTGTCATGAGCTCCTTGATACACCTCTGGCACTATCAGTGGGGATCCTCTGCGGAGTTCTCGTGGGAAGCTACAACAACGGTTGTTCCGAAAAGTTTTCTCGATTGGCTTCCAGAGGGTGTTTCTAAATAGGCTTGTCGTAAAACATCTTGAGAGGGCTCGCCCTGGCATCCACAAATGAATAAACCAAAGGCGAACGCCACAGAAAACAGCCCCAGCACAATCCCAACCAGGGATCACGGCGACGGACCCCACCAGACCCCACCAGACGTCCGTCCCCCCAGAGAGCCTTCGGCGAGTCGCAGCGCACGAGGGCCCGAAGACGATCTCTGGGGGGCGTGAAACCTCAACCTGGCGAGGAACTCAAAACCAAATGCGGTTGCGAGCAACGCAGTTGTGAGTACTTATCATCTTCAGTGGAGCCCCCTACGGGGCCACGAAGCGTGTGTCAGGGGAGTGCAGACATGGGCGCGGTGAGCGCACGCGAACGCAGCCACAAGGGCCCTCGGTGGAGCTCCCGTTTGGGGCCACGAGGCGTGCGAAAGGTGTGCCCACAGGGGTGCGGTGTGCGCGCGCGAGCGCAACCGCTGGGGCCTTCGGTGGAGCTCCCTGCGCGGCTATGCATCGTGAGAGGGGTGTGCCGACATGGTTGGCTGATGCGGAGGGCGGAGGCAGGGAATACCAATCCATACCATGGAGGGAGTCCGTCGAAACAAAACGAGTTAGTCCGAGGAGGAGTCCCCGTCCCCGCGACGGGGCGCGTGCGCGGGCGTCCGCGGGTGCGGGTGCAAGGGCGAGGGGCAGAGGCAGGGATGGGAGGAGGGAGGAGTGAAAAAGGAGGAGGCGAGAAGGAGGGACGCGGAGCGCCGTCTCTTCAAACCGAAGAGATGGCTGGGAAAGACCGTACACCCCTGACCTCCAAGGGCGTACTGAAGGATCGGGGAGGTCCGAGTCGACACGGATGAGGAGGAAGAGGAGGAGGAGGAGGAGGATACGCTGGAGGACGTCGACAAGTCGACGAGCAAGAGGGGAGAACTAAGGAGTAGCAGCAGAAACAGGAACAGGAGGACGACGAGCACAGGGGGAATATTCAGGATGAACAGGCAGGAGAGGGAGGAGGAGCATGTGCCGTCGCTGTGGTACCAACGCCGTCAGATCGCAGCAGACGCAGGAAGACGGGGGGCGAACACAAGGGGGGTGGAGGACAAGGAGGACGGGAGGCGAGCACGATGAGCAGGAGGACGGGGACGAACGTCAAGAGGATAACGCCTTGTGGCCGTCGTGATGTCTGTCTGTTCGCCCCCGCCCCTGCCCTGGCGTTTCGCCCTTGCCCACGGGCCACCTCGCCCTGGCGACTCGCCCCCGCCCCCTCGCCTCGCCCTCGGCCTGTCCCCATCTCGCCCCTTGGCATCGCCCTCGGCCTGAATTTCTTTGCGCCCCCACCCCTCGCCCTCGGACCAAGGCTCGAGGGAGGACCGAGGCTCGAGGGAGGATCGAGGCCCGAGGACCAGCGCGCCACCGCATTGGCCGCCTGCCGGCGAAGGCCGCCTGCTGCCAGGGGCCGGGCGTCCTCCCACTCCGCGTGGTCGCCGTCGACGCCCCAGGGCTCCTCCTCCGCCCAGGCCTGCGGGCGCAGGGCGCGCGGCGGAGCCGCTTCGAGCCCGGCCCTCCGCCACCGCACGGCGTCGCAGGGAGGTGGTCCTGGAGAGCTGGGCCCTCCTCCTCCTCCTCCTCCTCCTCCTCCTCCTACCTCATTCTCCCACCTCTCCTCCTCCTCCTCCTCCTCCTCCTCCTCCTCCTCTTCCTCCTTCTCCTCCTCCTCCTCCTCCTCCTCCTCCTCCTCCTCCTCCTCCACGAGAGCGGGCGCACTGCCAACTGCACCTCGGCAGCTGGCTCGCTCGGCGTCCATAGGCGGGGCTCCAGAGACCGTCCGCCGGCGGCTCCGGTGGTGGTGGGGGGGTCACGCTTGGGGGAGTGTCGTGGAGGGGGCGGCAGCGGGGAGGGTGGTGGCGGGGTGGTAGCGGGGACGGGGGGCGAGGGGGTGGTAGCGGGGAGGGGGAGGCGGCGGGGAGGGGCTGTGGGGGGGACTGGGGGCGGGTCGGGGGAGAAAAGGGTGGAGGGGGAGGGGAGAAAGGGGGAGTAGGGTATGGAGGCACGGGGGGGGCGAACGGAGGGGAGGTGGCTAGGGTGGAGCGGGGAGAGAAGGGGACGGGGCAATGGAAGGGGAACGTCGCCTCCTCCCTCGTCGTTGTCGTCGTCGTCGTCGTCGTCGTCGTCGTCGTCGTCGTCGTCGTCGACGTCGTCGTCGTCGTCGTCGTCGTCGTCGTCGTCGTCGTCGTCGTCGTCGTCGTCGTCGTCGTCAACCTCCTCCTCCTCCTCCTTCTCCTCCTCCTCCTCCTCCTAGTCCTCCTAGTCCTCCTCCTCCTCCTCCTCCTCCTCCTCCTCCTCTCCAGATTCCCTCCTCCTCCGTCTCTCGATGATTTCCCCTACAAGTAGTTAACACTTCTGTGCGCCCCGCCCCAACCCCACCGTAGCCATTTTGGCTCAAGTGTCGGGCCCGTCGGCTGGCACGAACGGTTTGTCGCGCGCGCGGGCCGCGCGCGACGATGCGGCGCTGAACGGTGCACATGCGGTGCATGCTGCTGGGCGGCCATGCCATCGCGGGGCAACCGGGCTGGCAGGCGTGGCTGTGCGTCGCGCTGCCCTGCCTCCCCGCAGGCTGGGGTGGAGCCTCTGCGCTGCCCAGTCGCGCCAGGAGCGGGTGGGGATGTGCCCTTGGCACCTGGCTGCTGGGCAGCGCCGGCTGGGGAGGGGCTTGCCGGCGACGCCGCGGGCGGCAGCACCGGGGCGGGCGCGGAGCCCCCTGGAAGCGCCGATGCGGACGCAGGCGGCTGCACCGGGGGTGGCGCAGAGCCCCCCGGAAGCGCCGATGCGGCGGATCCCGTGGGCCACTTCGGGCGCCGGCCCCAGCGACCCCTCCCGGCGAAGGCCCGGCCGGGCTTGAGGCTGGCTCCCGCGGAGGGAGTGCCGACGACGGCGCCGAGGACGGCGACGCTGCGGCCGGCCCAGAAGGCCCCCCCCAAGCGGGGGAAGGCGCTCATGCGCGGACGGGACACGCCCCTGCCCCCTGCGCCGAAGAGCCCGAGCGAGCCCGCAGCCCACTTGGACCGACCGTCCCCGCATTCCAATATTCCTACCACGAAATGTTCTCAGAGCCCAGAAATGTTCTAATCATAAAAACAATGTTCTTAGAACATAAGCCAGGTGTGTTAAAACGAGACAGCTTCCGCCAGACATGTTCTAAGAACATTTCGTGGGAACCACAGAAGGTTCTTAGAACATTGTTTGGTAGGGTCTTAGGCACGCCAGGTAGCTTCGCCACTGCTTGACCCACTGGCTGGCAAGGGGCCGGCGGCGCAGGTCGCTGGGCGCCGCGCGCGCCGGCGCAAGCTCCAGCAGCGCCCGGGTGCCGAGCCGGCGCCGGCGCTGGCAGCGGGAACGCAGGCCGAAAGCGCGGCCACCCCGCCCGCCGCACCGCGCCCGCCGGAGCAGCCGCACGCGCGGCCGCTCCCCATGCAGGGTGGTGGGGCAAGCGCCCGGAGCCCGCCGAGGCCTGCGGCCCCGACCTTGGCGGCCGCGCGCAGCCCAGGCGGCGCCGACGACGCACCGCGAGCGCGCCCCCAGCGCTTCCCCCGCAACGGCAGCCTCAGCAACTCCTCCTCGGCAGCACGGGCGCCCGGGCGGCGCCGCGCGCAGGAGCAGCTCCCCGCGGGAGGGACGCAGCTCGCAGGGCCAGCCGCGGAGGAGGAGGCGGCGGCGGCCGCCCCGCGCAGCAACGGCAGCAGCGGTTCAAAGAGCAGCTCAGGCAGCTCCCCGGCGGCGGCGACGCGGACTCCCAGGGCAGCTCCGCCCGAGGCGGCAGCCCCAGGAGCAACGAAGGTTCCGACGGCAGCTCCGCCCGCGGCGTCAGCGCCGGAAGCTGGGGCTCTGACGGCGGCCCCGCCTGCGGAAGCGGCGCCGAGGAAGGGGGGCCCGACGGCAGGGGGCAGCGCCCCCCGCCGAGGCGGTGACGGCGGCGCTCCACGCGAGCGGCTGGAGCTTCCCGGCTAATGGGGTCGCGGCGGGGGTCCTAGCCCAGGCGGCGACCGCTGGCGCAGAGAGCCGCTGGCTCTCCCGCTGGACGCTGGCGAGCACCCCATCGAACGCGAGTACGACGGCTCGACTGGGCGTTGCTCGCAGGCGAGCCGGACTCGGCCCGCGCTCCGGCACCCCTGCTCCGGCCTCTCCGCGGGTAGAGCCTGCGGGGCTGGGGGGCCAGGAGCTGGCGGAGGGGCGCGAGCCCCCGGCCGCGGCCAGACCCCTCCGGGCGCAGGGCCGGGCGGCCCCAGCTGGGCAGGAGCCGGGCAAGCGGCGGCTCTGTGCTGACTTGCTGACGGCTGAGGAGGCGGCCGCTTGGCTCAGCGCCCCGCAGGAGGCGGCGACGCTGCCAGCAGGGCCGGAGCAGGGGCCGCCACTGGCGGCGCGGCGGCAGCGCGCGCGGCCGCGGAGGCCGCTCAGGCGGTGGCCCTGGCAGACGCGGCGGCAGCCCGCGTGGCCGCGGAGGCCCGCGCCGCGGAGGCTGCGCGGGCGGCGGCCCTGGCAGCGGCCGCGGACGCAGCGGCCGAGGAGGCGACCGAGGCGGTGCGCGCGGAAGTCTACGCCGTCCTCCGTCCAGGTCGCCGCGCGACACCTCGGCGTGGCCGAGGACCGGCGCCTGCCCGCGGCCCGCGGCCGGGTGGGCCGGCAGGTGTCGCGCCTGGCGGCGCCAGAGCTCCTCGGCCTCGCCGAGGTGTTGGGCGCCGTAGGTTTGCCGACTGCGCGTAGCCGCAGCTGGCGCGGGCAGAGGCCAGCTGGCCGCGCGGGCCGGCGCGCCTCCCTTGCCCTCCCCTCTCCCCCTCTCCCCCCCCCGCGCCTGTGTCGTTGTCGTGTCGTCTCTCGTCCCCGTCGTCGTGTCGTGTCGTTTCCTGACTCTTGCCACGGGGCTCCTGTTGCGCTTGTAAAAAAATGCCCCGCCCCACCCCCTCCAGACGTGTCGGTAGGTGGGCGATTCGCCCGATAATTCCTCACCGTTCTGACCATGAAACTTGGCATTCGCGACAGAGGGCTGGTCCTTTTCAAAATGGGGCTCTTGTTTCTTGCTTTGATAGGGTCCCATTCATGTCAATGAATGGTTTTAACATTTTGTCGTATGACAGTGTCCCCAATGTGCGATGCCACACTGTTCTGCCGATTCTCCCCAAACTGATCGGACCTGGTGCTGCAATTACCACTGCTGGCCGATGCCCTGACGGAGCCGTGCCCAAACACGACCATACGATATCAAGACAGCCAAACTGCGGAGGTCGGGCGATCCGGGCGTAATCGCGTGCTCTCTGCAACGTGGCCATAACGACCAACACAAGCAGTAGGACTTTGCCGTCCAAGAGAAGCCATGGACAAATGCACCACAAAAACGACGATCGCTTCCATCGAAGAAAGAACAACGCCATAAACATAAACTGTTGGCGCTCTGCGCGGATTTCTTGGATCTGCGTTGGACCCCCCCTTCCTGGCGCGCGGAGCGCGCCAGGGGCGACGCCGGAGGGGCGGCGCCGGAGGCGCCGCCCGGGGGGGACCAGCGCGGATCTAAGAAATCCGCGCGGAGCGCTCCCCAAGTTTATGATGATAGCATTTTGTTGTTCTTCGAATTGCCGTCCAAGAGAAATCAGGGACACATGCAGAAAAAATGATGATCGCTTCCAAGTGTTCAGGATACAGTGGAGGCCAGTCCACTAGAAACCCGACTCTGAGACCCCCGACTCTGAGACCCAGGACGCCCCTTGACTTCTGGTGTGGGAACGCCACGCCTTCCGTGGCAAAACCCTGGACACCAAAGAACCCCACGGCACCCTGGAGGCAGGCAGGGTGTTTCTTGGCATGGACCTCCACTGTAAGGCGAGGGTCGGTCTACATGGCGGGGAACTGCTCGCTGCGCGTCGTTCTGGCACGTCCCTGAACGATGTGACACGCGGCGCCCCAACTGCCGCACAAGGTGGAGAGACAAATGCCACGGGACGCTCCACGCTCCTCCTCCTCCTCCTCCTCCTCTCCTCCTCCTCCTCCTTTTCCTTTTCTTTATAACTTACCTCTCCCTGTGGTATCCCGAGGCCAATTTTTAGGGCGGACCGGGCGTTTCGCCTGCGACTTCCTCACCATTTCTGGCCCTGAAACTTAAAACGGTCTTTTTTGAACACGAGCGTACGTGTGCACGCAACATTGAGGGCGGGTCGTTGGGTCGTTTTCAAAATCTGTCTCTCGCCTCAGCGCCGCGCACATTCGTTTTAAACAGTTGCAAGCGCTTCACGGATTGAGGGCGACCCAATTTCAAAATGTTTTGACATGCTTCAGGGTCTTCAATCGGTTGTCTTCCAACGAGGCAGTTCCCCCAATGGAAATGAACCATTAAATGGGGGCCTGTGAAGAGGAGGCTTGGAAGGAGGGGGCTATATCAACATCGCTGATGACTCTTGGGTCTACACTAATCCTCCTCCTCCTCCTCCGCCTCCTCCTCTTCGTCCCTCCCTCCTCCGTGCTCCGACTCCCCCCCCATCCTCCGCCCTCCTCCCCCCTCCCTGCCCCACGGTTAAATCGAGCGTGGCCCCCTACAGGGGGATTCCCGCCGAAACATAAAAAGAATCAAAACACGTTCCAACGTGGTCCACCAAACGCTCCGAACAGAATCCCCAGACTGTGTTGTGACTATTTCGGAGCACTTCCCCCCGTAGAGGGACGGGCCCGACTTGCCCCCGAGCTCCAGACCCCGCAGGCCTCCTTGGCGCCCCTGGGCCGGGCGCCCGCCGCCACCATGCAGGGGGCCCCGCCGCGCGCCGGGTCGCGCGCGCGCCCGCGTGCGCGCGGGGGGCGGCCTGGGCTGCACGGGCGCGGCAGGGTCAGTGCGGAGTCAGTGGGCCCGCAGCGTGAGGAGAGAGTGCAAATGGTTCTTGGGTCGCAGCTCTAGGCGTCTAGGTACTAGATCTAGGTCTTTAGGCTCTGGGCTACTAGATCTAGTTGCTGGCTCTAGTACCTAGATCTAGGTACTAGATCTAGCTCTAGGCTCCAGGCGTGCAAACAGACCCATCTCAGGCGTCTGGGTACTTTAGACTAGCGCTCCTGATCAGTTCCTGTCGAGTGGTGTGCCCTTCAGCTCCGTAGCTCGTCTACAGCTCGAGTTAAGTTAAGAAAGCCGACAGCACCTGCGCGATGCGGATGCAAGTAGGGAACCAAACTCTATACACCGACGCTTTTCCCGACCCTGCGCTGAAGTTCGCACATGAGCGCGGATTCTGGTGTACACGGGATCCTGGTGTATACATTGTCCGTTTTTCTCCCTTGGAAGACGGGGGAAAAGTATACACCACACCACCCCAGCGTCCTCCTCGACACTTGAAAAGTCGTGGGATTGAAAAATAGCCCGCCACTGGCAATGTATGTGTTCCAGTTTGCGAGCAAGGGCCGTTGACGCCCATTTCGAAGCTTTCCCAGCGGGGCGCGGCCAACGAAAGTGGCCAAGGATGGACCGAAGAGGCAAGGGTGCAAGGGTACCCTTGGTGAGGTTGCCCATCCTGACTCTGCGGGCTAACTGTAGCGAAACTCACCTTCATCTACCCCGTAAACTATTGATTCGCCTTGAGGCGCGCGGGGATGGCTCGCTCGCTGGAGTAACGCATGCCTGTGCGCGCACAACACATTCCCAGGCGGCGCGTGACCACAACTCGCTCTCTCGGGGGTTCTAGTGACACCCGCACGCAAAATCATCGCCACCCGGCTAGGGAAAAGGAACGCCCCAGGGGTGCTCCAAGCCCAGCCCAAGAGTGAGGATCTATGGGTCGCAGACCCCGAGATGGCACCGAACAAAGCACAAGACGCTCCGAGATAGCCCCAAGGTGGCCCAAGATGAAGGGCAGCCCCCAAAAGGTCCGAAGAAACCCTCCTGAGAGGCGTCCAGGAAGCCCCCAGAGGCCGCCCAGAGACTCCCGGGGCCCCAAGATGCTCGGACAGCTTACAGAGGGGCCTAGCAAAACATGATACTGACGTCTCCGCGTCAAGGGTACCCTTGGTGAGGTTGCCCATCCTGACTCTGTCGGCTAACTGCAGCGAAACTCACCTTCATCTACCCCGTAAACTATTGATTCGCCTTGAGGCGCGCGGGGATGGCTCGCTCGCTGGAGTAACGCATGCCTGTGCGCGCACAACACATTTCCAGGCGGCGCGTGACCACAACTCGCTCTCTCGGGGGTTCTAGTGACACCCGCACGCAAAATCATCGCCACCCGGCTGGGGAGAAGGAACGCCCCAGGGGTGCTCCAAGCCCAGCCCAAGAGTGAGGATCAATGGGTCGCAGACCCCAAGATGGCAAGACGCTCCGAGATAGCCCCAAGGTGGCCCAAGATGAAGGGCAGCCCCCAAAAAGTCCGAAGGAACCCTCCTGAGAGGCGTCCAGGAAGCCCCCAGAGGCCGCCCAGAGACTCCCGGGGCCCCAAGATGCTCGGACAGCTTACAGAGGGGCCTAGCAAAACATGATACTGACGTCTCCGCGTCAAGGGTACCCTTGGTGAGGTTGCCCATCCTGACTCTGTCGGCTAACTGCAGCGAAACTCACCTTCATCTACCCCGTAAACTATTGATTCGCCTTGAGGCGCGCGGGGATGGCTCGCTCGCTGGAGTAACGCATGCCTGTGCGCGCACAACACATTTCCAGGCGGCGCGTGACCACAACTCGCTCTCTCGGGGGTTCTAGTGACACCCGCACGCAAAATCATCGCCACCCGGCTGGGGAGAAGGAACGCCCCAGGGGTGCTCCAAGCCCAGCCCAAGAGTGAGGATCAATGGGTCGCAGACCCCAAGATGGCAAGACGCTCCGAGATAGCCCCAAGGTGGCCCAAGATGAAGGGCAGCCCCCAAAAAGTCCGAAGGAACCCTCCTGAGAGGCGTCCAGGAAGCCCCCAGAGGCCGCCCAGAGACTCCCAGGGCCCCAAGATGCTCGGACAGCTTACAGAGGGGCCTAGCAGAAGATGACACTGACGTCTCCGCGTCTCCACGATGACTGCCCTCTCGTGCTCTCGGGCTTCGGTGAAACTTTGGTGGGGACGTGCTCCGCTCAGTGTCGTCCTCCACCTGCCCACCGACTGCTCCTTCCCACTCGAGCTCCGGAGGAGGAGGAGAAAGAGGAGGAGCAGGAGGAGGAGAAAGAGGAGAACGGAGGAGGAGGGAAGGAGGAGGAGGAGAAAGAGGAGGAGGCACTGCCAGGCACGCACAGCTGCAGGGCGGAGGACGACGAGGGGGAGGAGGAGTGGAAGAGGGAGGCCCGACCCTGCCGAAAGGGCGCTTTGCACCCAACTCTGTTCGAGTGGGCCCCAGGACGCACAAATAAATACACACAAATAAAAGGATTCCCCATATTTTCCCATATGTTCCTGGTTTTTGTCTTCCCCCCCACTTCCCATATTTTCCCATATTTTCTGGGGAATCGACGATTAATTGTGTCTGTGTGTTTCTTTCCCTCCTGAGTTTTGCACCCAACTCTGTTCGAGTGGTGGGCCCCAGGGCTCCTGCCCTCGCCGAACTCAAGCCTCGACCGCCTGGGACCCCAAAGTCTGGGAGGGGAAAGGGGCAGAAGGAGAAGGAGGATACTGGGCAGGAGGATGAGGATGAGGCGGCAAAGGAGGAGGAGGAGGAGGAGGCAGAGGAGGAGGAAGGGGAGGAGGCGGAGGTCGAGCTCGACGACGTGAGCACATCGAAAAATGCACGGCGTGGGCGCCGGGCCCGGCCGGCGGCGGGGCGCTGCCGGAAGGGGGGGGGGCCGGCACGGCTCCCCGAAAAAACTGAGCGGCCATGCGCGAGCGGAGGCCCGCCTGCAGTCGGAGGTCGGAGGAGGAGGAGGAGGAGGAGGAGGAGGAGGAGGAGAAGGAGGAGGAGGAGCAGGCGGGGACGACGACGACGACGACGACGACGACGACGACGACGACGACGACGACGACGACGACGACGACGACGACGACGAGGGCGAGGGCGAGGAGGCGGAGGAAGCAGGAGGAGCAGAGGAGGACGACGACGCCGACACTCCGATGGCGAGGGGAGCAGGGGCGGAGGAGGCCGGAGAGAGCGCGGGGAGCGGGAGGGGAGCGAGCCGCCGAAGAGGGCGAGGGGGGTGAGCCATCAGCCTTCCTCCTCCAACTCCTCCTCCTCCTCCTCCTTCTTCTCCCACTCCTCCTCCTCCTCCTCCTTCTTCTCCCACTCCTCCTCCTCCTCCTCCTCCCTCCTCCTCCTCCTCCTCCACTATCCTCCGTCTCATCCCTCGCCTCCCTTCTCCTCCTTCTCCTCCTCCTCCTCCTCCTCCTCCATCCTCCTGCATCCTCCGCCGCCTCCTCCGCCTCGGCCTCCTCCTCCTCCTCCTCCTCCTCCTCCTCCCCTCCTCCTCCTCCTCCTCCTCCCCCTCCTCCTCCTCCTCCTCCTCCTCCTCCTCCTCCTCCTCTTCCTTCTCCCCCTCCTCCTTCCTTCCGTTCTTCCTTCCTCGCTCCTCCCTCTCCCGCTCCCCAGCGCGCTCCCAAGCGCGCGGGAGGAGCAGGCCGAGGCCAGGGGCGACAAAGGAGGAGGCGAGGACGAGGCGCCGGGGAGGACGAGGGAGAAGAAGGACAACGACGAGCAGGATTCCGACGCGAAGAAGGGAGCGATGGGGGGCGCGTGGAGGACGCGTGAAGGGAAGGAAAGGGGGGGGGAGGATGGGGGCGATAGAAACAATCCCGACAGACCAAGTACACGGAGTCGGAGTTCAAGGACGGGGAGGGATTAGGGAGAGGAGGCGTGGGGATTCCAGGGAGAGAGGCGCAGAAGGATCAGGAGGGATACCGGGGAGCGAGCAGGAAGAGGGGGATGAGGAGGGTCATGAGATATCGTCCACTTCCTACTGCTGCTTCTCCTCCCGCTGCTCTTCCTCCTCCTCCTCCTCCTCCTCCTCCTCCTCCTTCTCAAACTCATCGTCGTCGCCGTCTTCATCCGCGTATCCTGGTGCTCCCCTTTCTCCTCATGCACCATATCTTCATCCACCGCCTCTTCCTCTTCCTCCTCTCTCTTCCTCGTCAAATCCCTCCTAATCCTCCCCACCCGTCTTCACCAACCCTTTCAAGAACTCCTTGTTCTCCTTGTCTGACTTCTTTTCATCCCCCTTCCTCCGCATCCTACTCCTCCTCATCCGCCTCTTCTGCTCCTGCTCCTCCGCCTCCTCCAACCCATCGCCCTCATGGCCCCTGACCTCCTGCTCCTGCTGCTCCTCCTTCCGCTACCCCTTCTTCTCCTCCTCCACCTCCTCCGTGTCCTGAGCCTCCCACTCACTATTCCCCCGCTCCCTCGATCGCTCGGGAGCCCGTCGGGCTCCCGGCGATCCTCTCGGAGCCCAGCTTGCCTCCCCCGGTGGCGACCGCCCGTGCGACACGCAGTCCCCGGGCCTCGTGCCCGCAGCCTGTGCGGCCCCGCGAGCTTTTGAGGCGAGCGCCGACGGGCGCGGCGCGCGCATCCCCCGAGGGAGACCGACAGGGGAGGGCCGGCTCACCGGGGGGGGGGGAAACGTCGAGCTGGAATCGGCGACGAGTCGTCGACGGACCCGCGAGAATCAAGCCCCCCCGATGGACCATCCGAACGCTCCTGGGCCGGGTGGGGCTGTCGGGCCCCAATCGGAGACCAACGGGAGATCGGGGGGTCGGTGCATCCCCCCGTGAGCCTACAGCCGGCACGTACGACAAGACATCTTGCTATGAGGAATCCAAGAGCACGCTCGTCGTCGATGCTTGAGCTTCCTCAGGTGCCTCAAGGCT